CCATTAATGTACGTCAAAGGTCGAGGTAGAGCATGGATGTGCCAGATCCTCAGCCCTCCATGCACACAACAGGCACTTAATAAATGTTACCTATGAGAGTTATTAATAAGCGTGGCGGGTCTTTGAGAGGAGAGGCATTTTGAAGCCTTGGGCTCTTTTTCTACAAGAGCATCTTACAGAATCAGAGCTCCAGGAAGCAGACTCTGGAAAAAAATCAGAGCAGGGGCGGCCACATGTTTCCCAACCCGGTTGCCAAGGGACTGCAAAAGAGGAGGCTGGCCCGCAGGGGCAGCTGGGACTCGGAGTCAGGAGTCATGTCTGGATGGAAGGGAAGAGCTGGGCATCTTCTGCTCTGCCTCCCACACAAGCGGGGTGGGGTGCCTATGGGAGGGGCCTGTGTCTGACCCAGGAGAGCAGATTGGACTCTTGACTTTGCCACTCTCTGGGGTGGGGGTGGGGGTGACCCTGGACAAGTCGAGGTGCCTGTTAGAGCTTTAGTATCTTTCTCCTTGTACTGATGGGATGTGGGCTATAAACTCGAGAATTTCTAAGGCCCCTTCTGGGTCCAGGATTCTGTTGACATGCGTTTCTGCCAGAATGGGGGAAGCGAGAGAAAAAAGACTAATGTCTAAGCCATGGTGTCTTCTGACCATGATCTCTGAGTCTAGATTTATTTCTAGCGGTTTCCAGCAAGGTTCTAAGGCTTGCTCACACACTCAGCCATTATATTCTGTGTGGACTGAGGATGTTAATAGAATAGAGGGGTGAAATGTCAAGCCAAACCTATCATCAAGGGGTGGGGGAGAGAGAAGCGAAGACCCGTCCTCACATTAACCCCTTCTGTATCTGAAGAGATCGTTAAACCCACTCTGCCAGGTGGCCAGATTTTTAAAAGAAATTTTAAAAATAGTCTAGATCTTCCAAACTGAACATCGGGACTAGGATGTCGGAAAGGATCTTTTGGTGCCAGCAGGTACAAGATGCCATCTCAGAGACAGAAGGTGGAAGCTGACTTCCCAATTCGGGCAAAAATGCAGTTGGCTTTGGGGTGACAACGGAGAGAACAGCTGAAAATAGGAGTGTCCCTCCGGGTAGTCCGAAAATCCGCTCATCACGCCGGGACCTTCTCTCGTCTGTTCCCCACAACGGGAGCGTTGCTCTTCCCACAGCCACAGAAATGGCAAACTTGGTCCGTTCCCACAAGTCAATAAAAACCACATGGGACGGGGCGCCTGGGTGGCTTAGTCGGTTAAGCGTCCGACTTTCGCTTAGGTCATGATCTCGCGGTTCGTGGGTTTGAGCCCCGCATCAGGCTCTGTGCTGACTGCCGGCTCGGAGCCTGGAGCCTATTTCAGAGTCTGTATCTCCCTCTCTCTCTGACCCTCTCCTGCTCACGCTCTCTCTCTCTCCTAGAAATAAATAAAAATATTAAAAAAAAAAAAACACCACACGGGACGCTTGGATTGGCAACGCCCCACTCCCCACCAGGTCCAGCCTTCCTCCCGGGATCTCCTACTTCCCCTTCAGGCTCAATTGCGAGACTTAACGTCCACTAAACTGATTACAGAGGAACAATTTCTCCCTGTTTAGCTTATTAAACCGCTAAGAGGCATAATGAGCTACTTGGGATTTGTATCCACAACGGCGGTCCAGGCTGTGAACTTCTCACCAAAGCAGTGAATGGAGTAGCTTCCCCCCATGTTACAGGCTAAGCCCCCACCCCTGGCCCTTTTTCCTGCTTCTGATCTTAATTTCCTGCTGGCTATTGTCTCTCTGATAAGTGCTGGAAGAGGGAAGGGGATTATTTAATTGCTTTAAAGATACCAAACAAGCCAGTGCTCGGGTAATCTCCTCCCCATCCCCTCTCTTTCTCTGGCTCAAGGTTGTGTTACTTGGTTACTGACTGGGCCGCAAAGAAGTCGAGGCAGCCCCAGGTGTGACAGTGCACACTTCGTTCAGCAGATGGAGGGGACAGTCAAAAGAATAGCCATCGGGAGTCAACAAGAGACCGCTGCTTCAGGGAGGCTGCTGAGTACACGCAGCAGCAAAGTCAAACAGGCCTTTCCAGGCATTCAAAGGGGGACGAGGAGGAGGCATACATTATCTAGACAAAATCAACAATCACTCTAGATTATACATTTTCTGCTGTCAAGGTCAATGCTATTCAGTCCCCATTCACTCTGCCCTGCAAGAGAGACAGGTGCGCCTGAGATGGATTGGACCAACATTTTTTCCACCCTGACTTGGGCAAGGAAAGATTTCACAAGTTAAGGACAGGAGGGCGGATTTCACTGTGCTCCACCCCTGAGACAAAGAACATTGTTGGAGGGGCGCCTGGGTGGCTCAGTCGGTTAAGTGTCCGACTTCAGCTCAGGTCATGATCTCACAGTTCAGTTCGTGAGTTCAAGCCCCACATCAGGGCTCTCTGCTGTCAGCACAGAGCTTCGGATCGATCCTCTGTCCCCCTTTCTCACTGTCCCTCCCCTGCTCATTCTCTCTCTCAAAAAATAAATACATCAACATAAAACAATTTTTTTAATAAAAAGGAACATTGTTGGGAGGAGGTGGGTCACCCATTATCCCCCTCCCCTGTCATTGAAATGTACGTCCCACCCATTTTTCCCAAACTAGCAGGCACTTCGAGGATACAGCCTTGAGAGAATGATGCATTACTGAGACCGTGAGTCTAGAAAGTCTCTATACACATTTTTAAGATTCTGGTTGTCGCTATAGCACCCAAAGCAAGCCTCCAAAGCCAATTCTCTTGCTTCTTAAAGCCGCCACCTACCAATCCGGAATGGCCTGCCTATTTGCCCTCTAGGTAAAGGGCCACTTTCGGATTTCCCTCAGGGAGATCCTGAGGTTGCAAACCAACATGCACACAGAAGTGTGCCAGCTCACCACCCAAGCTGCCTTGATGATCCTGATCTTCCGGGAGCAATCTGCTCTTGCAGGTACAGCACTCGTACTAAAACAGAAGGAAAAACAAACCAAGCATCATCGTATCAGGGTCACTATGGCGGGGCGGGGTGAGGGGGAGAGGGATGGAGGCATTGAAAGCCAGTGGTTCTTTCTCATGCAGGTTACAAAACTGTGGGTACGTTTTTAAAGTTTATTTTCAGAGAAAGAGAGAAGGGGGGAGGAGCAGAGAGAGAGGGAGAGAGAGAAAATCCCAAGCAGGAGATCTGATGCAGACGCAGGGCTCGAACCCACGAAACGTGAGATCGTGACCTGAGCCAAAACCAAGAGCCAGACGCTTAGCCCACTGAGCCACCCAGGCGCCCCAAAACTTGTGGTTACTTTTTTTTTTCTAACGACGCATGGTCAAGACCTTCAAGAAGATAACGTGATCACAGGGAGAGCGGAATGGGCGCTTTGTGGGTCTTCCTTTTCCTACAAACCAGTTGGGTGGTTGGAAATGGCGACAGGTGTTATTGTAGTAGCTGTGGGCCCTGAGTCTGCGGAGATCTGAGCTCAACCCCACTCTGCCCTCCCGGTCCCCTCACTGCCCCCATCTCTCCCAGCCAACAGCGAACAGGGGCACCTCTCTTCTATCGGGCCACCTGCCCCAGCCCCTCTGCCCTGCACACAGGCGTCTAGGGAGAAGCTGGCTCCTGGTTTGGGACATGGAGCCACCACTGTCTAGCTCCTGGGCTCTAGCATGAGGGATTCAAGCTGCATCATAACCAACAGCTCAGAAAGAGACGAATCCAAAGGAAACCCTGATCCCCCGTCCCCCACAGCAGGCACCCCAAGATAGAAACTTGCAGCGGACTGCTGCCCTACTGGGTGCTTTCTTTCCCAGGTGGCTCACCCATCTCTAGGGCTCACGTTACCCACTATGCAGCCTCTGGACTTTAGCTCTGAACTGGTGGATTGAAAGTCAGGTGATAGGATGGACCACCCAAGGCAGCTCAGCCCATAGGGAAAACTGGAATTGGTGTTTGCTCTCTGCTCCCCCTCTCCTAAATCTGTGCCCAGGATGGTGAGCTTGCGGATGCGCTGGGAGGAGGGTGAGGAAGGAGCGGCTCCAGATCGATCATGACTTCTTAATCTGTTGGAACAGAAGCTGAATCATCACAGTCAAAAACGAAATAGCTGTACCGGCCACTCATCTCCCACTTCCTGCACGTCCCCTTTTGCTCACACACAGCTCGCAGGAGGAGGGGAGCCGAGCTGGGTCGCACCAACAGGTGCCGTCGGACACGGCCACAGGAGGGGGCCTGGCCATATGCCTGGCGCACCTCCGAACATGGAAAGCTGGGCGAGGGCGCGAGTCGCTCGCTCGCTCCTCGGCTGAGCCTCTGGCGGCTCTTTGAGCTGAATTCCGGATCCCAGGCGCCGGCTCACACGCTGGGCCTGGAGGGGTGTTGGTCACTGCATAGAGAAGTGCTTTCCCCCAGACCCACCGGCTCCCTGCTCTCCCCGCGGCCCTGCGCCCTGGGACGTCCAGCTTTGCAAACTTGTCTGGCTGAGGAGCTGGCGGAGGTCCCGGCACGAGTCTGGGCCACCGGGGCCGCCACTCCGGCTGCACGGAATATGCTTGGCTGAAACACCACGGATCCTATGCAAGAGGGAACGCGGCGCGTGTTCCCACCACGAGTGTCGGCGAGGCCGAGATCGCTCGACCCTTCCCGCCCCCGCCCCGGAGAGCTCGGCCCTCGGGCCCGCAGCGGGCTCTCCACGCCGCTCAGCCCCGTCCTCCTACGGACCAGCGGGGCGGAGCGAAGCTGCCGTGACGTCACCGGGCGGAGGGGGGGCGTGGGGAAATGTGCCGAGGGGCCCGGGCTCCGCGGGGCCAGTCCCGGCGCCGCAGCCACCCGCGCGCGCGCGCTCGCTCGGCCACCCGCGCCCCGAGCCTCAGTCCGCGCTCGGCGCCGGGGGTCTGCGGGCCCTGTGGGCTCCGGGCGGCGCGAGGGGAGAGCGGGAGCCGGCAGCGCAGGACGCCGAGTGCCAGGTGCCGGCCAAGCTGCTGCGCGCCCGGGCGCCCGGCGGGGTTGGGGACGGTCGCTGGGTGCCAAAGAGCCGAGCTAGCGGATCGCAGCGGAAAAGCAAAGGTGAGGCGTGTGTGTGTGTGTGTGTGTGTGTGTGTGTGTGTGTGTGAGAGAGAGAGAGAGAGAGAGAGAGAGACGCACTTGGGCACCTGGGTGCATCTGCGCTGCGTGGTGGTGCGCCCTGGTGTGCCCCAGAGAAGGTCCCGGTGCGTGGTTCTCCGCCCCTGTGCCTTTTGGGCGGCGATTTTGGTGGCAGCGAACGACGGCGGGTGCCCTGGCGTGAGTGGGGGCTGTGGTCGTGTGTGCGGGATCGGATCGGACGCGTCTGCACCACCGCATGCTGGTGTGCGTGGCATGCGCCCGGGTCCAGTCCTCGTCCCCCAGCCGGCTCGTCCAGGTGGTATAGCTGCGACGGAGACAACTTCTCTCCCAGCCGCCTGCAAAAGAGCCCCCACGCGAGGAGAGCGAGGCCGGCTGGGACGGGGGTGGAGGGTGTCGCTGCTCAGGGCTCCTGCGCCCGGGTACTCGAGCTCCAAGCCTCTAAGGGGCGGTCGGTGGAGCAGGGAAAAGGGGTGGCTTCTCCTCTGATTTTCCTTTCCGAGACTGATCCTGAGAGGTCTAGGGACTGCTTCCTCAGCACCGGGGAGGAGAGGGCAGTTTGCCTACGTTTGCAAAGACGGAACCCCTGACTGGCCCGGGTCCCAGAGCCTCCGGCCAAGCCCCCAAGCGGCTGTTACCAGCTCCCAGCCGTCCAGATGCTTCAGCCACCCCCTGTCATGCTGGCATCACAGTCTTTAGTCTCCCCCCCCATCATGTTCCTGGAAATGGCAGAGGATTCTTTAGGAAACCCTTGGATCTGCGGGCTGTGGAATTGGGTGATGAGGATTTTCTGTGCCAGCTTGGGGAACCAAACCGGCTGCCCCGACTCTCACCTCTCCGCGGTGCCCTTTGGCCAGCGGGGCCTGGGCTTTTCTTAGGCACTCTAGCGCCGCGGTGGCCAGCCCCTGGCTATTGTCTCTCCCGCCAGCAGGGCTGAGCTCTGGCTGGTGGGAGACCCCTTTGGGTTTAGCTGGCCACTGGGGAAGTGGTGGTGAGGTATGAATGAGGGGGGTTGGGGTGGAATGTTGGGGAGAAGGAAAAAGCTGAAGCCAAACAGGATTTAGGACCGGATGCCTGGTCCCAATCCCCACATTCAATTCATAGCCTCTGGAAAGGGGTACCCCAGACCATTCTCGCCCTCCTCTCCAACATAGCCCAGACTCAGTCTCAGAGCAAATCAACAACTAGCCATTTCCAATGTCTAACTCCTAGGCTAGAAAAATAAAGCAAGCAGAAAGCCAAACTTCCTTGTGCATTTAACTTAACCACAATCCAACAAGTATTGATTGCCTGGCACTGGATTCCACTTTCACTGGGACCCTAATGAAGCAGAAGTCACTTGGAGACCTCAGGCAGCTGACCTCATTGTTGATGAAATAGCAAGAGTCGCTGTGACTTAAACTCATTTCTTCCTTGGAGGAGCCTCCCCGCTCTGGACTGGCTCCCCAGCTTCTGACCTCTGCCACCTTCCCCACGCTCGGAACGCTGTCTACCGCTGCCTCTCTCCCAAGTAGGGAATGCTGCTTCGCAGCCTATTTCAGAAAAACATTCACCTTATGCAATTCTGCACTGAGGGAGACTCCAGCCAAAAAGTCAGAGTTAGTGCTGGAGATCAGCATTTGACCCTCCCTCACTCTCCTGCACTGTCATCATCTCTATCCCCAAAGCTCTAGACAGCGCTTCTTTCCCCCGGGGGGTCTTCAGGCTCACCCAGATACTGAAGTGTGACCTTGCATGTTACACAGAAGGGACCCTGGAAATGCTAGTGATTAACACACACCCCAACGCAGACGGCTTCAATAGGATTCCGGGTCTGTAGAATTAAAGTACCAATAAGACAGTCGGAATAACAGTGGAAACAGCCCAAATTAATCCAGGGATACCCAAAATGGTTTCTTTATCGTTTCCGTTTCTAAGAGTTGCCAGTTTATGCTTTTTACCCAATGCAGACAGTAAATCCTGGGTCCCCAAAGTACTCTGCAAAAAGGTCAGACACAAAGCCCAGACCCCATGTTACAGACAGTTGCGTGGTAGGGAAATTAGCACAGAGATGGTAAACAAGGCGCCTGGCGTTGCAGAATGAATCAGAGGCAAAGGTGGGCAAGAATTCTCTAGAACTTGTTGCTGGCTAAGCCCCCTATAGCTTATTAGCAGTCTTTCCAAGCATAAAGGAGCAATCTCCAATTTTCACTCAGGCACCAGGAAAAGTCCCCTGCTCAGGAGGGATGTGTCCGCCAAGTGAATTAGTCCCACTGTGTGCTGAGCACACCAGCCTTTTACCATCTTCTCTCTTCCTGGAATGACCCCCTTCCTGCCCTCCCTACTTCATTCTTCCCACATTCAAGACCCAGCCCAAACATTCCTCTTATGAAGCCTATTCTGAATCCTTCAGGAGAGGAAGGCATTCTTAAGTCCTTTGTTCATTTCTCCATGCAATTCACACCCTATAGGAGTTGGCTTCCTTGCCTGCCTCGGCTCCTAAATCACCACCTCCTAGAGGGCATCAGCCTTGTCTCATTCCTAGATCCCTGGAGTGCGGAACAAAGAAGCCCCCCGCCCCAGCCCTGGTTTTTGCACGACAGTAGATAAATCACCTAATTATGTGATGGGCTATTGTTTTATGTCTTGGGCCAAGCCGGTGGAGTTACAATTATTTTCTGAGCGCTAACGTAAAACAGGAGTCAGCTGTTTTAAACCAAAGCCCAATTATCAGCCGCTAGTTTTCCAGTCCACCGAGCAGCAGATATGATGCTGTGAAAAGCCCAGAAGAGTCGAGTGTCTTGTGTTTAAATCTCAGCTCCACCAGTTATTTACAAGGGAGTGGGAGCAAATTACTTTAACTCCCTGAGCCTCCGTTTCTCATCTGTAAAATGGGGATGGTTAGCCCACTTCATAGGATGGTGGGGAAGATCAAGGGAACAGTGAGTGTGAATGAGCCAGGAAGTATTTGGAATGCACTTCTGTGAATGGGTCTGCCTCCCGCACACACGCCTAGCTCATTTTCCCCCTTAACTGGGGGGTCCCAGGCAAATCCGCTGGAGGGTTAGAAGAAGAGCATTCTGGAGCAGTAACCCCCAAGGGACCCTGGGAGCCATGCGGAGGTCAAGCACTGGCTATTGGAGAAAAGAAAACAGAAGAAACAAAATAAACTGAAACATGCATTTTACATATAAAAGCCAGCCAGATTTTAATTTTTAATATTTTAGACTATAAATTTGTTCATTAAGTGAGCAGATTTCAATAAATTAGAGCTGAGATGGTAGAGGCAAAAAGGGGAAAGATATGATTTTTTTTTTTAAGTTCTGATTATGAGCTCAGCACAATGCCAGGCATTTCCACATACATTTCATCCTTTAACCTTCATGATGCCCCCTTTTTAAAAAAATATTTTATTTTGAGAGAGGGAAAGAAAGCAAGGGAAGGGCAAAGAACGAGGGAGAGAGAGAATCCCAAGCAGGTTCCATGCTGTCAGCACAGAGCCCGACATGGGGCTCAGTCCCATAAACCGTGAGATCATGACCTGAGCCAAAATCCAGGGTTGGACGCTTAACCACCTGAGCCACCCAGCTGCCCCGTGACGCCCCCCGTTTTAACAAATGAGAGTCAGAGAGTGAGAATAGTTGAGTGGCACAAGGTCGCACGGGCTTCATGGTGGAACCCCTTTGTTTTACCTCTAAAGTCTGGGATTTTTCCACTTGGGGATTTTAGAATGGAAAGACTCCAAAGCGGTCGGCAAGTTGGCGGAGGATGTCCCCACGGGGAAGAGGCCAAGAATGCCCGTGTCAGACCCCTCTGAGTCAGGGGCTGGACTTCGTGCTCTGCCTTGTACAGTCTGGGCCAGTCAACTTATTAGGAATCAAAGTACTTTTTTCTTTTTATAGCCTCAGCCGTCTCCCACACTTGCGTCACCAAAGATGAGAAGATCAACTATGATGATTTAACCCAAACCCTCCCCCCCCCACTGGAAAAACAACTCAAAACGGCTGCACACTGATGAAAATGGGCTGGTGGCTCTAATGCTGAGGCAGAAAACGAACACACTTTTCCACTGCAGGGCATGTCTGAGCGGGTAAACCAGAGACCCAGAAAGCTGGTGCAAATGTAAGCCTCTGACTGATGGACCCATCTTCCTTCTTCCCTTGCAGATGTCACAGTGGATCCTTTGCCTCCTGGACAAATTAAGGTGAGAATAAGAGCTCTGGCTGGCTGGAACTGGCCTAGAGGAGTGTGAGGCAGCCATGGATATGGAGTATGAGCTACTCAACGAGAGCCGCACTTGGCTTTCCCCTCCCTTTGACCTCAATGGCTCTGTGGTGGCAGCCAATGGCTCAAACCAGACAGAGCCATACTACGATCTGACCAGCAACGCAGTGCTCACGTTCATATATTTTGTGGTCTGCATCATCGGACTGTGTGGCAATACACTCGTCATTTACGTCATCCTCCGCTATGCCAAGATGAAGACCATCACCAACATTTACATCCTCAACCTGGCCATCGCGGATGAGCTCTTTATGCTGGGTCTGCCCTTCCTGGCCATGCAGGTGGCTCTGGTCCACTGGCCCTTTGGCAAGGCCATCTGCCGGGTGGTCATGACTGTGGATGGCATCAATCAGTTCACCAGCATTTTCTGCTTGACAGTCATGAGCATCGATCGATACCTGGCCGTGGTCCACCCCATCAAGTCGGCCAAGTGGAGGAGACCCCGCACGGCCAAGATGGTCAACGTGGCTGTGTGGGGGGTGTCTCTGCTGGTCATCTTGCCTATCATGATCTATGCTGGGCTTCGGAGCAACCAGTGGGGGAGAAGCAGCTGTACCATCAACTGGCCAGGTGAATCTGGGGCATGGTACACAGGGTTCATTATCTATACCTTCATCTTGGGGTTCCTGGTGCCCCTCACCATCATCTGTCTTTGCTACCTGTTCATTATCATCAAGGTGAAGTCCTCTGGAATCCGCGTGGGCTCCTCCAAGAGGAAAAAGTCTGAGAAGAAGGTCACCCGGATGGTGTCCATCGTGGTGGCCGTCTTCATTTTCTGCTGGCTCCCCTTCTACATCTTCAATGTCTCCTCCGTGTCTGTGGCCATCAGTCCCACTCCGGCGCTTAAAGGCATGTTTGACTTTGTGGTGGTCCTCACCTATGCTAACAGCTGTGCCAACCCAATCCTGTATGCCTTCTTGTCCGACAACTTCAAGAAGAGCTTCCAGAACGTCCTCTGCCTGGTCAAGGTGAGCGGCACAGACGACGGGGAACGGAGCGACAGTAAGCAGGACAAATCCCGGCTGAATGAAACCACAGAGACCCAGAGAACCCTCCTCAATGGGGATCTCCAGACCAGTATCTGAACTGCCTGAAAAATAAAAATAATAATAAAACGCCGAGCTCTGCCAAAGTGGCCATGGGCTCCCTGCCCCCACGCCTCTCCTTCCTCCCGCCCATCACACCTGGCTTCTTAGAATAGGGAATTGCTCAGCATGAGTCCAATCAGAGAACAGTGTTTGAGTCTGCTTGTCTGAGTGAATGATAATGTATTAAATCCGTTACCTCCCCCTTAAAGCCAACGCTGCAGTGCAGGCAGACAATTCCAAGTCAGGAGAAGAAGAGATCATGTGTCTCCACGTGATCTGTAGAAAGGTGAAGCTCAACAAAACTAGGAAAGTACGTCTGCGTGCTTAAAACCTAATATGTAATCTTGTGATCTTAACATTTATACTTACCTATTCTGTTCCTCTCTAAGTCCCTGTACAGTCATTAGCTACGTTTCCTGTGTTCAAGTACATGAGAAGCGAGCTAAAGTGTACACGTATCATTACGATATGGAGCCCACAGACGGGGGCTTGCCACGAAGCCAAAATAAAGTTTAAGCTTCAGAGATTCCCTCCTGCTGCGGCAGTGTTGTCACGTGACCACGTGGTTTTGTAAAAAAAAAAAAAAATTGTAAAAGTAAGGTGTTTTTGTAATTCTTTTTTCTTAAAGAGGTCTCCTTAAAGCTTCTAGCGTCTCAAACCCACCTCTGCCCCCTGGGTACTTGCTGTCTTAATTTTAGGCAAGTTACAGCAAAGTAAGAAAGGAAAAGGAGGTATTTGAGGAACCGGACTATACATCCATGTGTTTTCTCTTCTTAGATATAATCAAAGAATTATATTTCTTTGATAATATTCATTTACCCAACAGGTCTCTGATGGTTGGGGTCATCAGTATTTATGGAGACAAAGACTGCTTTGTTATAGGATTGCCTTTTTTCTTTCTTAATTTGCTCTGGCCTTTCTTAGGGAGCCGTGGAAGGGGAGGGTGGAGGAAATCACCAACACGATAGGCAAAAAGTTACTGGAATACTTGTGAGGAAACCATTTCATTTTCCCCAACATGAACATAAATGAGTGAGAATAAAGCAAGGTTATCCCTTTATGAAAACCACGAAATTCTTCTTTCAAAAATGCCAGACGTGGCATCCTAATGAAAGACAATGGAACTATAATTTAACGGCTCCTTGATTTTTTGTTCTTAAGGAGTCGATACAAAGCTAGGCACTAAGAAAATCACAGGACACACTAAAGACCCAAGGATGCTGCTCCTAAAACCTAGCCACGCGCTCCAGCCAACCAAAATGTAGCACGTAGGGGGCACCTGAGTAGGAGTGCTAGAGGGTGTCCCATCTGTCACAGGCACGCCTGTACCACCTTCCCCGCCTGCCGTATACAAATTGAACATCGACCTTTAATGCCACGGACTCTGAGCTATCCTCAAGCATGGTCACAGACAGCCACTCCACACCACCGGTGACATTTTTCTGTGCCTGAAACGGTAGATGGGCTCGTGTACAAGCGGTGAGGAAAGAGATGATGCCCATTTCACTGAGCAAAACTTCCAGGGTATGAAGACATGTAACACGTGGGTGTTTGTAAGGATGCCATCATCTCTGGGCTCCTGTGAAAGCCTCACTCCCTGAGTGTCTCACATATGGATTTTACCATATTTAAAAGTGAGCCTTCCTCTTCTGGCTCCCTAAGCAAGGCCCGTTTGACAGAGTGACTAAGAAGCCGACCTGTAGCGTCGCTGTTAATGTGTCGCCTCCATCCTGTCTCTATTATTTCATGCCGCCTCATTCCCGAAAGCACTCACTGTGGCCTAGAAAAATGTGTTCAGTAATATGATAGATAGGTAAATCCATGCCAAAATTAAAAGAGGCACAGTTATAAGATGAGACTGTAGGAGGAGCAGTGATCCAGGAGTGTTTACTTAAGGAAAGGCCGGCTATAGGTTCCACTCAGGACTTCCTGACAGAAGGTGACTCTTCCTCCTCCTCCTCCTCCTCCACCATAAAAATAAGCAAAGATTTGGAAGGAAATGCTCTAAACATGGCTTTACCAATACTCATAATGTGAGATGTTCCAGGGTCTTTAATAAATGCTGATTTTTTTACTTAGGGAAGTGATTCCTAGGGGCCAAGGCTGGTGGAAGTAATTTCAGAGAAGGCAGACTAACTCTGTAGCATTCGGGCCCCTGCAATCAGACACTGGCCTCCAAGGGGGGTAGTCTTGAAACAAAATGCATATCCATGTATACAGCCGGTGCTCATCAGCAGGACGCTCATGCTAAGACTGAAGCTATAATTCTGTCCAAATGAGCAGGCAGGGTGCTACTCTGTGAACAGGAATTCTCCATTTTTTTCTTAAATCTCTCTTTCAAGGATAACTTGCTCTCTGGTGGTTTTCTTTCTTCCAAAAGAGGGAATCAATAACTGGTTTAATTTAAATGTTAACATAATTTTAATTCCAAAAATGCAAGCTTAGCCTCAGCTCAGCATTTAATTATGAATGTAAATCTGCTGGATGCTGAGAGAGAATGCAAACTAAGGTGCTCCGTTGATGTTAGGGCGTCTGATCATTTGGATGATGCAAGCGACTCTTTAACCTACCCATTCGCATGGGTGGTTAAGAGCTGGTTAAACCTAAGTGGATCTGGTGAGAGAGGTATCAGGACAGATAGTATGACACGGTGGCCTGTGTTGGACGAGGTTAGCTTGTGCTTCAGGAACACAGAGAGTTGAGGAATACCGAATGTGGAGTTGAAACTTTGGTGGATTTCGTGCCATAGCTTGGGACGGTCTAGGCGGACAATGAGAAGGGCGGTGGGTGATGGAAGAACACTGCATTTCCTTCCTGTTTTGGGGAGAAGAAGGGGGAGGAGGGGGATGAGAGGAAGGAGGAGGAGGAGAGGGAGGAGGAGAAGGCAGAGGAAGAGGAGGAGGGGAAGGAAGAGGAGGAGGGAGGGGGAGGAGACCATGACTCTTCATTAGTTGTAACTGCTAGGAAGTCCTGAGCAGAACTTGTAGCCGATCTTTCCTTAAGTAATAGCCTGGGATTTTCCTGCACACAGTTTTGGGTCACAGCTTTTCTCTTCCCTATAGCCTCATCTTAAAACCGTACCTCTTTTTTATTTTGCGTGGATTTATGTATCTCTCACAAACAGCATGCCGAGAAGAAAATGTGGGCTGGTGGGCGGGACTCCCAGAGCTGGCAGTAAACTGGAGTCTATTTGCCTACACAGACTTAATCTAGTTCCAGTGTTGATGGCTGACCCTTTCAGCCCCAGCTGCCGTAGATCAGGAGCACCGTGCGGGGGAAGTGGTCACGGAGACAGGTAGGAAGGAAATGACTCTCGAGGTACGTGTTGCTAATCAGCTCCAAACGTTGACTGTTCAATCAAGGCAGCTAAGTTATGATGGGAGCGGACATGAACTTTGGTCTCGTTGAAGGAAGGTGAAAAGAGAATCATCAAAAGGCTCCACAGAGGGTTGGGAAGGTCTGCTTAGTGTTTCTGGAATGTGTGTCATCATAAAAATCACCAGAGGCAGCGAGGAAGCCACGCGTTTGAGCTCTGTAAGTAACAACTTCTAATCGGCCACCATTTCTGCCAGATTCAGAAACACCACGTTTCCTATATCACACGTCCTATCAGAGCAAACCTTCGCCTAAGTGGTTGTTCCGCTCCTAATGGGTGAATTTCTTGGAACGTTCCCATAGGCGGCGTCTCAAATTCTTTTTTCCAGCAGCTCCTCCAGAAAGGAGGCACCAGGGACTGTATTCTACTTAGGGCTGAAAAGCTTCTGTGAGTCTCTTACCGCAGTTAGCAGACGGTCAGGGTTGGAAATAGCCACTCCAGGGCAAGTGCTCACGCCGCCCGCCCCCACTGCCCACCCCGTTCTGTGACCTTGGCAGTGACCGAACGCGGGCTGACCACCTCGGTTTTCTCCTTTCGAGGCTGCGTGCATCTGGGCTGCGCTACACAACACAGTGCAATATTAACCAAGACTTAACCGCGCTGACTGTAAAACAATCCACTCTCCCGAGGCTAAAAGTGAGTATGACATTAAATGAAACGCTGTGGCTTTTGCTCACTGGGTTCAGGCGACAGACACTGTCAGTGTGGGAACCAATCGCACGGACTCAGCCTCAGGTGGGCAGAGAGGACGTTTATATGGAGATGGAGAGACGCGTTTAGCTTGTCACCCCTCTTCCTTCCTGGCATTCCTGAAGGGACAGAGGAGGGAGAGGAGACGATCTCTTTGCCAGGAAACCAGTGTCTGGTGAGAAGAGGCAGCTCACTTCTGCCCCTGAGCCCATGAGGACTGGCCCGACATCCAACCGCCCTGTCCTCACGGGAAAGCCCGTGGGGGAGCGTGACGAAGGCCCGCTCCAGGGAACACCTCAAATGGCAGACCACGGCCTGTCCCATTCCATCATTCAGGGACCGGGGATGCCCACTGCTCAGGTGATAGAGCAGGTCGCTTTGCAGGGCAGTCACTAAAGAAGGAAAGGTGGAGCCAAACTCAGACCACCTCAGCCCTGCGCACAGGAGGAGACACAGCTGACCCGGGTCCTTACAAAGATTCGGTCCCAACATGGCCCAATGGGGGCACGGAGGGAAATTGCTAGTCTCGAAAGAGGAGAAGCCATGGGCAGCTCTACCGGACTGACAAGGTACCTTGTCGACCCACCACTAAGGTGCCTCAAAGGAGCAGCAATGCCACTCCTGGGCCGTGCTCCCCCTTCCTCGCCGAGGGCGGGGGTATCCATCCCCGTGCCCAGGCGAGGGAGTGTGGCCTTAACTGAGAGAGCAGACATTTTCCCTCGTGGGGTGTTTTTATTTTTTTAGTTTTTTATTGTTTATTTATTTTTGAGAGAGAGTGAGTGGGGAGGGGCAGAGAGAGAGGGAGACACAGAATCCGAAGCAGGCTCCAGGCTCTGAGCTGTCAGCCCAGAGCCCGACGCGGGGCTCGAACCCACAAACTGTGAGATCATGACCCGAGCCCAAGTCGGACGCTTAACGGACTGAGCCACCCAGGCGCCCGCCCCCTCATGGGTGTTATTTTTAACAAGAAACCCGAGTGCTTCTCTCACAACATAAACAAGGCTTCGTTGTTTTAACGTTCTCCAGCATCCTACTTCTCACCCCAAAGGGACAAGCCTAAGGTTCACTACGCTCTGTGCTCTCGGACACACACACCCCTGTGGTGCAGTACTCACGGTGACACAATGGAGCACACGTGCGGCACACACATGAAGGACGCATGCACATGCATGTGAGGCACACCGTGGCACACGCACACATGCCCACACCCAGCACACCTTCTGGATCTTGCTGGTAAGACTTCCGATGCAGAGATTCTCCAAGGCTTTCAACGGACAGAGAGAACTGTAACTTGACTAACTCATTGGAAGCGTACGGGTATTCACTCATTTGTTTATGGGGTGGGGGGACATGGCGTATAAGCTAATGTTTCGCGCAGACGACTCCGTGCCACATCATAGGGTGCATGCCTGGCCCCAGCCTGCTGTCCCTGCAAATAACTGGTCACCTAGATTTCAAAAACAGTAGGGGAGCTGGTGAAACTCCATCCCCACCGGTTAAGCAACGTGAAGCACATGGCCTGCTAACAGCAATATTCTTGCAGA